GGACCTAATGTCGGGGGTTTAAGTGGAGAGAAAATGTTTTGAGAATGATGTACAAATGCGCTTTACACAATTGATGTATGTATGGATTGGGATAACAGTTGTATGAGCCCCTAATAAAATGTAAAAAAAAAAGAAGCAGTTCTACCCAGTCTTAAAAAAAAAAAACCAAAAAAAAATTAGGAATCAAACACGCATATGCATTGAATATACCATGGCTTTGGCTAGGGCACACCTCAGGTCTCAGGGCAACACATTTGTTTTTGAACATTTTTTAAAGGTTTTTGGGGTTGTTGTTTTTTTTTTGCAGTTTCTTTGCCCAATGTTGTTTGATTTCTTGATTGCTGCTTCCATGGCCCTTGTGGCTCCAAGTGAAAAGAAATCGTTGACACCTTCCATCGTTTCTCTGTTTATCATGGTGTTTCTTCCAGGTCCAGTGATGAGGATTTCTATTTGTCCCTTGTTGAGCTTTAATCCCCACCAAAGGCTTAGACTTTGATCTTTGCTTTCAATAAACCATGCTGTGTCTTCTGCAGACTGCAGGCTGTTAAGGAGTCTTCTTGTAATCCTGATGCTACATGCTTCCTATAGTCCAGTTTCTAGGCTGATTTGCTCAGCATGCATATTGAGTAAGTATGGTGAAAGGATAACACCTTGAAGCACGCCTTTCCTGACTTTAAATCACGCAGTATCCCTTTTGAATGGCTGCTTCTTGGTCTATGCACATCAGTAAGTGTTCTGAAATTGTCAGTCTTTGCAATGCTATCCAAACGCGTTATGATTCACACAGCTGAATGTCTTTGCATAGTCCGTGTAACACAGGTAAACATCTTTCAGCTATTTTCTGCTTTCAGTCAAGATCCACCTGATAACATCAATGATATCCCTTGTTCCATGTCCTCTTTTGAATCCAGATAGAATATCTGACCATCATCTGGATATACTGCTTCAAATGTTTTTAATGTTCTTTCAGCAAAACTTCACTTGTATGTAATATTAATTACAATGTAGTCCTTCCATCTTCTTTGAATGCTGCTTGTGTCTTTCAGGATCCTTCAATATTGCAACTCGAGGTTTGAAGACCTCTTCAGTTTGCTTTCAGTCTGAGAAGAGCAGAGTACGTTCTTTCCTGTGCAGTTTCTAACTACAGGTCTTTGCACATTTCATCATTGCAACACTTTGCCTTCTGGAGCCTCCGTTTGAAGTCCTCTGCTTTGTTTTT